CTGAAAGGGATTTGGTTCACCTGAGGGTAGGCACAGACTCACTCAGTAAAGAAATTATGAGTAACAAGGCACTGCATGAGCTGCTCTGTCTGCCTTGCTCTCAGTCCCCATTCCCCACAAAGTCAGAAAACTGATGGTAAATGCACGTGTTATCATTCATGGGTGGTTAGAGAATTCCAATTTGTAAGAGCTGAGGTTATTCTTGCCTAGTAGACTAAATGCTAACTCTGTTCAATTCCATTTGTGTATAGCAATGGAAAGCATGATTTATCTGGGGTATCAGGAATGACATTGCCTTTCATTAGCCATAAATAGCATTATGAGGCTCTGCCCTACTACTAGGTAGGTTCATGTACTATCAATTTCTGTGCATTTATACACATGCAGAATTAGGAAGGTGGAAATTCTCCAAAACCCTGCTAGGAGAAACCTGTTAAGAGCTTATAGGGGTATTTATTTTATATTTTAAAAGTTCAATAGACTCCAGTTAATCTGCCCTCTGATAATCCACAGAATAGTGACTGAGCCAGACACTTAGCTGGTGTAATGTACTGAAGCTCTTCTGAAAGCAGCAGTCAGGCTGCTCCTCCAAGACATAAGAGGCTTAGGCTCAATTCCCTAATTTACAACAGGTCTCCTGTGTAACTTTGGCCAAATTCCATCTGTTTAGATAGAAATAAGGGTTCACAGGTAGTGAACAAAATTCAAATCCCAACGATGCTCAAATTTCCTACATGATGCTAAAGAGAAAAGGGCTCAATGGATGGAGTGTAGAATTAAAAACACAGTGGCTGCACACTAGGAGGAACCCTCAGCACCCTCATGTAATTTCTGTGTGCTTGAGGAAGCCAATTTTATGAAATAAGGCATAAATCTCCATATTTCCAGTGAGAATCCTCTGTTGCTGTTTACAGTAACAGCAGAGCACCAGTTTCTTACTGCTCCTGAAGGCAGGTGGAAATTAGGGGCCAAGCAATTCAGTTCAGTCATGACAAAAGGCTTTGTGGGCAGGCACAGAAGCAAAATTTTCTGATCTTTGGTCAAGCCACAGCTTGAGAGCATGTTTCAAGCATCAGTTCTCTGGAAATAGGCATCAGAAGAGGGACTTTGGAGAAATTAACTCCAACATTAAATCTTCCTATTGTTGCTTCAGAACCTGAATGTGGAATTGAAAGTTAAGTGGATTAAGGAGTGTAAAACGTTCATTATTGTAGCAATGGGGAACATCTAAGCAGCTAAAATTGATAGGTGCTGTCATTTATAATTGCTGAGAGCTTGAGAACCAGAGTGTGTTAGGAGAGAGAGCAGTGGGAAGGTTTGAGCTCCTCAGGGGTAATGGTCTGATCTCTGATCCACACAGCTTTTTGGGGGCAATTGTGTGCAGAAATGCCAGTCTGGAAAGGTCTGCCCTGCAGACAGGACTGCAGAACAGGCACTTCCACAGCAGTGGTGCAAAGCCTGGGTAGATGTGCTCTGAAAGCAGCTGGTCAAAAAAGCAATGGTGTCAGTGCCTTTTGGTGGCTCTGTGTTTCAGTTCATTACAGGAGAAATCTTTATTGTGGACATAGTTCCAGGAATAAGTGAATGGAAAACACTTCAGAGGACTATTCTGCCACAAGAAAGGTTGGAGAAGTGGGCCTGGCAAAGATTCTAGAGGCCAAAAGTTACGGAGGAACAAAGCAAGGAAATATTAAATCAAATAAGGAGAACAGATGGTGAGCCTTCTGTGAAATGAGAGAAATGGTTTGGGGCAAATTCTGCAGAGTACAAGAGGGAAAGTACCTGAGGGAGGTGGAAACAATTTTCATGGTTCCCTCCTGCAGGATGCTGCCTTGTTAAATGACATCTCACCATGAGCTAAAATGTTGTTTTCTTCATTCTCATCTCCCCTTCAGATTTGACCTGTGACAGGTATTAATATCCACTTTGACTATTCAGGAGCATTTTCTGGCACAAAATCTCAATTTGACAGAAGTGTGGCAATTTATAGTAGAGTTAGTTATTGCTAAACCTCAAAAGCTCCTTAAAGTGGGGCTGCCAGAAGACAGTGATGTGCCAAGTGTGTCAGTGGGAGCCCAGGGCTGTCCTCAGTGATGAGAACAGCCTGCATCAAACCACTGATAACTCAAAACACTGATAACTGGCTTTGTATGGAACCAAACACGCAGGGAGAACACCAGTCATCTTTCCTTATCTGCTGGATGTGTAAATCCTTACCAAAATTCAGCAGTGGTGCTTAGAAAGCATTAGTGCAAAGCCAAGGTGTGTGATTCTCTTAAGCTGAGAGCACAGTTCAACTCTGCATTTCTCTTTGAGCTGTGTGTGACATTTAGGGGTCTTTCTGCTCACAAGATCAGAAGTAGGGAATGCATATAAATGAGCATTTTTGCAAGGAAAATGAATCTCCTGAACCAGTAGAAAAGATGGAAGAACTGCCTGTTTTCAGGAGTGACCATAATAGCAAGCAGCAGCAGATTTAGTCTGATGGTCTGGTATGGGAAGATCTCCGACATATTGATCATGGTGGAAAAAGCAAATCATCAAATAATTTTTATACTCTTCTGTATGAAGTATTTCAGTAAAAAAACCTCTACTGCTGGCATTAATGCATCATTACCCAGAGATAGCTGTGGTGAAAGATGGGTACAGACAAGCAGAAATTTCCAGTTTGTCTATAGGATTTGTGCTGTCTGTTAGAGTATGCACAGTGCATCCCAAGCCATCCTCTGCTTTTAGAAAAGCAGTCAGATTCCTGTAGCACATGAAAATGTAGCCATTTAGACGTAATAAGTGTTTCACACAACATTAAATTACTTGTAGCTGCATGGTCTTGCAAACACCACTGCTCCAGCTCCCTGGGTAAAATGTACTGCAGTTAGCCAAAAACATCAGTGTGGAGGTGCAGCCAAAGCAGGGAGTGTGTTCTGAGCTTTCCAGCTGTTCTGAGCAGAGATTCAGAGATTTTCACCTGAAGTTTCAGAGCAGCAACTAATTCAAAGTAATTCCACTCTGACACAGAGGAGGTACCTTCTGCAAGTTTACCTTTCTGAAGCTAATTTCAGTGAGCTCAGGCTCCATGGCAGGTCACCACCCAACAGTTTCTATAAACCTGCAGTGCAAAGGAGCTCCCTGAGAAAGGTGTGTGTTCCTCTGCTCCACAAACTGGGGGCTCAGGATGGCACAGGGGTGCCACAAATCTCCATTTAGACCACAAGTGTTAATCTGTGAGCCCCCACAGGTCAGAGCCACCTGCACTGACCATGCCCAGGTGTGGTGGAAGTTAAAGAAATCTGAATCCTTTGGACTCAGAAAGTTCAGTCCAACCACAATCAGCCTTTGTTTCTGTGTCCAGATTAAGAACCCAGGTGAATATTTGCCTCCCTCAGAAACAGGGAAAGATGTTCTTCAGCTTTGACTGAGTTACAGCCTCAACATCTGTATTTATTTGTTTATTCTATTAACTGGCAGATACATGGCTGATCCTTTCCATTAAACAAATTGCAAAATTTTCTCTACATCTGCACTCCAATAGTAGGAAAATCACTGCCTTTCAAGTGGGGTCTTTTGGCAGGTCCCCATAACTGCCTCCACCAGTGGAAAGAGGCTTTGGGTTGGGTTTTTCACCTCTTAGCTGCAAGGTAGTTAATGTGTAATAAAACCTGTAGCTGGTGGGAAATTTTTCCAACAAAACACCCCTGATAAGCAAATACTGACTTGCCAAAATCAAAACTGTCCAAAATTCTAGTTCTGAAATTGTCAGCATATCTGGTTCTGCATGCTCAAAATGAAACCTGATTTTCTTTTTGTCTTTGAATATTTTTTGATACATTTGGATGAGAAGCATAGTTTAAACTGTTGTTTATTTAAAAACAAAACCATTAGGGAAATCCCAACACTTTCTCTTTTTTATATAGAACACATGACAAAAACAAAATGCATTTCTGAAGAGGATGGAGCCATAAATTGCATATGTAGTTTAAAAAAAAAAAAAATAAAATAAAACACAAAGCATAAAAACCCCTGTAACTTTTTCTTCTCCAGCAGAAACCACCTCAGCAGACAGAACCTGCACCCAAGTGACTTCACTGTCTGCTGAAATCCTCTTTCCTCAGTTCACCTGACATTCTGCATGTCACCACAATGGATGAGACTTGCTGAGAACGTAGACAAAAACTCCCATGGAATAGAATAATTGATGGAGAACTCAGAATCATGGCACTAGTTTCTTCTTGTTTTTCTTTAAATCCTGATCTTGGCATCTTTTCAGGCCCTGCCTGTGTTTGCTGTAATGCATTTATTTCATTCAAAGTTGTTTTGAAACTGCTTTGTCAGGTGATTGAAGTTGTTAGTAAAGTTATGACAACATTTATTATCCCCTATAAGAGATAAAAATTAGTAGTTTTCTTCATGATTGATGCTCAGTGTAACAAGAATTGCTGAGTAACCAACTAGTTCTGTTGTTTACTGCCTAAAAAAAATAGTGGTTTATATTTTTAGAGGAAAATGGAGCAAAATGACCCCAGCAAAAGCTGAAAACCAAATTAAGAACACACATTTATAAGCTTTTTGAAAAAAAACAGAGCCAAACCTGTTTTGATTGTTATTTTTATGCTGAGAAATCCCTTTACACTGTAGAAGAGTAACTGCTACTATGAATACTGCTCACTGAAAAGTAGCTAAACCTCCAGCACTCATTTAATCATTCCTGAGTTTTTCTGCCAAACACCTGCCTTTTAATTTGCTACAACCAACCTGAAACATCTGTCAATTTTTTTTTCCCCCTATGAATTAATAATGCTGTAATTAAAATCCAGCAGAGAGCTCAGCTGGGACCCCTGGTTAATTAGGATAGGAGGGGGCTGTGTGAGCAGCATGCATTGGAACCAGGGTTCTGTGGCTGATGAGTTTCTGCCAGTCCAGGAAGATTTTGGGTGTTTGTTCCAGAAGCCAGCAATCATTTGTGGGCAATCAAATACTGCTGAAATTATTTAATTTGGATGCAGTGCCCAAAAATTTCTTTTCTATGTGTGCATTTTAAAAGGATCTGTGTTTAGTTTCTCTCTAAGCACTAAGAAAAGAAGAAGCAGCAGTGCTGAACTAAGCTCTTCCTGAGAGATGTTTTGCACTTCAGGTGGGAGTGTCACGAAGAGAAAAATGAACTCCTTGGTAAAGGCCATGCCTGCTGCTAACAGGCAGAGATTGAGGATGGGAGTTTCTTCCAGGATTGATTTCCATGCTGATAATTGCAATGGGGCTCGACTAATCAAGATTGTTCCTGGAACTGAAAATATCAGCTGGATTCAGGTTTGATGCTTGTTGATTCCTGCAGCTCAAGTTCTTACACCACACGTTTGAAACGTAAGGATTATGGACTTTTGGCTGATTTGTTTTGTTTTGAAGCAACATACAAAGTTATCTCTAGTTTTATTGCATTTCAGCACACTTAAAGATGAAAACATCAATCTGAAAATCTCATCGTTTATCAAGTAATTTTTAATTATAAAAAGTGCACAAATTAAGCTTTTTCAAGCTTTCTCATTGAAGGCAAAAGAATTTATATTGCACCTCAGAGTCAGATAGAAGAAATTCTTACCATGAACTTAAATAATTTGAAAACAAAACTGAACTAAACTTGGCGCACACAGGAACGTGTACCCTGTGTAACCTCAGTGTCCTGCTGTGCACCAGTGCCATGTAACTCAAAAAGCATGCCTGATTTAACTGGGTAACTGTGTTTTACAACTGTCCAAATTCCCAAAGGACCTCCCACAGGATAAATTAATTTGAAATTCCCTGTGTTTTAGGAGGGGGAAAAACACAGACTTGTCCAACTTCATCTGAAAGTCCCAGGGCAGTGAGAGCTGCTTAGGGCATTTGATCCAGGAAATACAGCTGAGTCAAGTGTGAAAAAACCTGACTCATGCACAAAAATGCCACTTCCATGACCTTCTCCTACCTTTTGAGAACTTGGCATTGCATTTACTGTATATGTAATGAGGTGTTTTTATTGTTTATTCCAAATTGCAGGAGATCATTGGAACGCTAACGAGCTGTATCTGATACTCAGTGTGTAAAAGAGAAAAGCCAACATGGCTGAGAGGGAATTTTCCTAAGCCACCTTTCACTCAAGAACCTGCAGCATGAAAAGTGAACAAATTGCTTGACCAATCCTGCCCTCTTCAGGCCTTTGCATCCCTCTGGCTCTGCCAGATTTCTTCTTTTCCACACAGGCAAATTAAACGTGCTGCTGACATAACAGCACTTGGATATTACTTATTTTTTGTTTCATTTTTTAATAAAATAAAAATAATAATAATATTATAAATATTATATAATTAAATCATATATAATAATATATTGTTATATAATAAATAATATATTATAGATAAAATATATATAATAATATATAGTAATAATACATTATATATAATTGATATATAGTAATAATACATTATATATAATTAATATATAATGATGCTATATAATATATAAATATAAATCATATGTATAATATATAATGATCATATATATTTATTAGATATAATAAATAATATTTTATATTATAGATAATATAATTATATATAATTATATATAGTAATAATATATTATATATAATTTATATATTATATAACATCATTATATATATAAATATAAATAATATATAATAATATATAATAATAAATAATAAAATAAATAGATATTTGGGGACAGCTCTGTATTCCTAGTGTGCCTGGGTCTCAAATATCAATTTAATGTGCCCAAATAGCTCCTGATTGGCTTTGCTGTTATGTGAGGGCTGTGAGCTGGTGGAGATGATGCAGAAGGGATTTGATCTAAGCCTGGAGCTGTTTGTTCAAGTGAAGCTCCCAGCACAGGCCATAAGCAGCATCATTAATGAGCCACAGTGCGAATCCCATCGACTGCATGTCTTGTACTGGATAACAAGGGAGAGTCACACTAAAACAGGCTTCTGGTGAAGGCAGTGAGAGTAAATACAGCCCTTGGGAAATGGAGAATACTGTGCAGCTCCTCACTTAATGTCTGGTGAATAAGCACCTTTTAATAATCTCTCATTTTTAAACTAAACCAAAAAATCATCACAATGCTTTTTTTTATTTTCATATAACAAATAAAAGCAGGTACAGGTCAATATCATAAATCAGATTATGAATGACAGCTGTTTAAGTATTTCATTCAAGTAAGTATTCATTCTCATTCATTAATACTTCCTTAAGTATTTAATTCATTCCTCTGGGTGTGTATGTGATTCTTTGAAAATAGGACTGAACCCTAAATAAGGCAAAGTGTGATTTTTATAGTTAATTAATGAGATACAACTCTGAAATGCAAAGCCAGCAAAACTAAATTTAAAAAAGAATCTCTTCATAGCTATAGCAATTAGGGATTTTTTTATTTGCAATTGACATAACATCATCAAAATCTCTGGTACAAACGAATTCACTGCTTATGTTATATATATATACGTGTATATATATATATATATATATACATAAAATACATGTTAGCTGAGCTGAGGCAGACAGAATGCCACACAACACTTTTCTTTCAAAACTTTTTGCAAAGAGAAGTAATTTAACCCCTTCTTTCTTTTTATAACACGCTCTATGTGCTTGCAAGAGGCAGAAAATGTCCATAAATAGTAATAATTAAGTGTAATAGTATCTCTTCAATAATAGTAAAATTGCAAGGAGTGCACTAAGGCTCTCCTGGGACTCTTTGACCACCAGCTCATGAATTCTGAGGATTCCAGCCCTGAGAATGCTGAAGAGCCAGAGAAGTTTTGTTTCAAGCAGAACCTAAAACCCACTAGAGTTCACAGGTCTATATCAAAAGCTGATTTCAATGAGTAACTTTAATCAGTAATTCCAATTAAAACAAAATGCTTCACTGGGATCTTTTCGCTTGATCAGCTCAATGAAATATGTTCTTTGAAACAAAATCTGACTCACAATGCAGGTTTAACAAGGGTTAATTTAAATAGCCCTTAAATAAACTCATTATAATTTCAGTGTTAAAGAGCAAATGAATTAAACACCTAAGTTTAGAGGCTATCTNCGACTAATCAAGATTGTTCCTGGAACTGAAAATATCAGCTGGATTCAGGTTTGATGCTTGTTGATTCCTGCAGCTCAAGTTCTTACACCACACATTTGAAACGTAAGGATTATGGACTTTTGGCTGATTTGTTTTGTTTTGAAGCAACATACAAAGTTATTTCTAGTTTTATTGCATTTCAGCACACTTCAGAGATGAAAACATCAATCTGAAAATCTCATCATTTATCAAGTAATTTTTAATTATAAAAAGTGCACAAATTAAGCTTTTTCAAGCTTTCTCATTGAAGGCAAAAGAATTTATATTGCACCTCAGAGTCAGATAAAAGAAATTCTTACCATGAACTTAAATAATTTGAAAACAAAACTGAACTAAACTTGGCGCACACAGGAACGTGTACCCTGTGTAACCTCAGTGTCCTGCTGTGCACCAGTGCCATGTAACTCAAAAAGCATGCCTGATTTAACTGGGTAACTGTGTTTTACAGCTGTCCAAATTCCCAAAGGACCTCCCACAGGATAAATTAATTTGAAATTCCCTGTATTTTAGGAGGGGGAAAAACACAGACTTGTCCAACTTCATCTGAAAGTCCCAGAGCTGCTTAGGGCATTTGATCCAGGAAATACAGCTGAGTCAAGTGTGAAAAAACCTGACTCATGCACAAAAATGCCACTTCCATGACCTTCTCCTACCTTTTGAGAACTTGGCATTGCATTTACTGTATATGTAATGAGGTGTTTTTATTGTTTATTCCAAATTGCAGGAGATCATTGGAACGCTAACGAGCTGTATCTGATACTCAGTGTGTAAAAGAGAAAAGCCAACATGGCTGAGAGGGAATTTTCCTAAGCCACCTTTCACTCAAGAACCTGCAGCATGAAAAGTGAACAAATTGCTTGACCAATCCTGCCCTCTTCAGGCCTTTGCATCCCTCTGGCTCTGCCAGATTTCTTCTTTTCCACACAGGCAAATTAAACGTGCTGCTGACATAACAGCACTTGGATATTACTTATTTTTTGTTTCATTTTTTAATAAAATAATAATAATAATAATAATAAATTAGAATAATATATAATAATATGTTGTTATATAATAAATAATATATATTATTATAGATAAAATATATATAATATATAGTAATAATACATTATATATAATTAATATATAGTAATAATACATTATATATAATTAATATATATAATGATGCTATATAATATATAAATATAAATCATATATATAATAATATATAATGATAATATATATATATATTAGATATAATAAATATTATATATTATAGATAAAATATATATAACAATATATAATTATATATAGTAATAATACATTATATATAATTTATATATATAATGTATTATTACTATATATAATTATATATAATAATATATAATTATATATAGTAATAATACATTATATATAATTTATATATATAATGATGTTATATAATATAAATAATATATAAATAATATATAATAATATATAATAATAAATAATAAAATAAATAGATATTTGGGGACAGCTCTGTATTCCTAGTGTGCCTGGGTCTCAAATATTAATTTAATGTGCCCAAATAGCTCCTGATTGGCTTTGCTGTTATGTGAGGGCTGTGAGCTGGTGGAGATGATGCAGAAGGGATTTGATCTAAGCCTGGAGCTGTTTGTTCAAGTGAAGCTCCCAGCACAGGCCATAAGCAGCATCATTAATGAGCCACAGTGCGAATCCCATCGACTGCATGTCTTGTACTGGATAACAAGGGAGAGTCACACTAAAACAGGCTTCTGGTGAAGGCAGTGAGAGTAAATACAGCCCTTGGGAAATGGAGAATACTGTGCAGCTCCTCACTTAATGTCTGGTGAATAAGCACCTTTTAATAATCTCTCATTTTTAAACTAAACCAAAAAATCATCACAATGCTTTTTTTTATTTTCATATAACAAATAAAAGCAGGTACAGGTCAATATCATAAATCAGATTATGAATGACAGCTGTTTAAGTATTTCATTCAAGTAAGTATTCATTCTCATTCATTAATACTTCCTTAAGTATTTAATTCATTCCTCTGGGTGTGTATGTGATTCTTTGAAAATAGGACTGAACCCTAAATAAGGCAAAGTGTGATTTTTATAGTTAATTAATGAGATACAACTCTGAAATGCAAAGCCAGCAAAACTAAATTTAAAAAAGAATCTCTTCATAGCTATAGCAATTAGGGATTTTTTTATTTGCAATTGACATAACATCATCAAAATCTCTGGTACAAACGAATTCACTGCTTATGTTATATATATATATGTATATATATATATATATATATAAAATACATGTTAGCTGAGCTGAGGCAGACAGAATGCCACACAACACTTTTCTTTCAAAACTTTTTGCAAAGAGAAGTAATTTAACCCCTTCTTTCTTTTTATAACACACTCTATGTGCTTGCAAGAGGCAGAAAATGTCCATAAATAGTAATAATTAAGTGTAATAGTATCTCTTCAATAATAGTAAAATTGCAAGGAGTGCACTAAGGCTCTCCTGGGACTCTTTGACCACCAGCTCATGAATTCTGAGGATTCCAGCCCTGAGAATGCTGAAGAGCCAGAGAAGTTTTGTTTCAAGCAGAACCTAAAACCCACTAGAGTTCACAGGTCTATATCAAAAGCTGATTTCAATGAGTAACTTTAATCAGTAATTCCAATTAAAACAAAATGCTTCACTGGGATCTTTTCGCTTGATCAGCTCAATGAAATATGTTCTTTGAAACAAAATCTGACTCACAATGCAGGTTTAACAAGGGTTAATTTAAATAGCCCTTAAATAAACTCATTATAATTTCAGTGTTAAAGAGCAAATGAATTAAACACCTAAGTTTAGAGGCTATCTTTCAAAATTCTGTGAACAAGAACAAATAAACAGATTTCTGTTTTCAAAGCTAAATCACAGGATAAGAGAAGTGTGGAAAATTGAGATGTGTTCATTAGAACAGTCTCAAATGGAGCCTCACTGGGCTGCATGATGGATTTCACCCATTTACTATAGATTGTGTTAGAAAAAGGCTCCTGCATCCATGGTATGTGATCAATTTGCCTAAGAGTTCTTTGATAACTTGTTTTTCATAGAGATACTTGCAGGTAAACCAAAAAATGTGGTTTTCTCCTGCATTGACGTTAAAACCATCCAGTAGATGGGGCCACAGAGTTGTACAAAACACAAAAGAAATATTAATGCCTCCTAAGAAAAACCCTCATAGTGCAAACAGAACTTTGTAATCCATTACATTCTAATGCCAGGCAAATAATTTATTTGCTTACACCGTGTCTCGACTCTATGACTCATTAAGCTCTACTCAAAGGCTACTTAATATGATTGTGTGTGTTTGATACCGAAATAATTACAACTCTCAGCCAACAAAAATTACAGCTGAGATCTTAATTTTCATTCATCCTCCGCTGGTTCCCAAGTATTGTCCAGGTGTGAGATAGGCTTGTGATGAAGGGACACAATGGAAGTCGTTGGCAGTAATTGTAGCATTAAAATCCCACATGTGGAAAGGTGTGTGTGGCAGGAGGAACGTGCTTCCTGCAGAACACAAAGGATAACTTGATGAGCTCAGCTTCACTGTTGAGAATGGGGGTTTTTTTTCCCCGTTTCTCTGAGATCTTTGCGTGTGTCGTTTTTAAATGAGAAAAGGCCGGGGGTGGAGAGCGGCTGCAGAGCAGGGGCAGCCCCGGGCTGTGCGGCGGTGCCTGCAGAGGTTTCCATTGCCTGCTCCTGGGGTGCAGCAGCAGCAGAAGGGGCTCCGGGGGTGTTTCTGAGCTTCCCCCCACGAAACGCCAAGTTCCTGGTGGATTCAGCTGTGAAATCCCAGCCGGGACCCGGCTGAAACAGCACTGCCTCTGAGCGAGGGGCTCGCAGGTTAAACACTGATGTGGGGCAGGAAAATGAGCCCGTGGCTGTGTGAGCAGAGATCAGGGGGTGCTGTGGGTCCGGACCGAGGGACTGAGCTGTCCGTGCGGCTCTGGGACAGCCCCGAGACCCCGGGGGAACCCGGCCCGGGAGCATCCTGCAGTGCCCCGGGGGTGTCCGGGAGAGCCCAGCCCCGGGGGTGTCCGGGAGGGATCCAGCCCCGGGGGTGTCCGGGAGAGCCCAGCCCCGGGGGTGTCCGGG